TATTAATGATATGAAGTTTATAACCCTTATTATTAAGCCAGGTCTCATACTGCCATCCTAGGATGGAGGCAAGCTTTCCTTGTGGAAAAATTAGTACATAATTATGTACTTAAAGACCGTAAAATTAAAGTGCAGGGTTGACCTTGATTATGATACTTCCTGATTTTCATAGTTTCATAGAACTTAAGGCCAGAAGGAACCATCCTATCATTTAGTCTGACCCCCCGTATATCACAGGCAATTAAATTTCACCCAGAAAGACTAAGGTGCTACCAATGTCTGAGGCCCCTACAGTAGCAGGAATTGATTAGGTGAGATACTAAGTGTATGTTCCCAGTATATGAACCATGTGTCATGCTACAGAGGAAGGCAAAAAACCTGTGAGATCCCTGCCAATCTGACCTGGGGAAGAACTCCTTCCTGACCCCGTATTTGACTATTTGTATGACCCTGAGCATGTGAGCAAGACTCACCAGCCAGACATCTATAAAGAGGATTCTTGGAACCACCTCAAAGTGCTGATTTTGGAATGCTTCAAAGGAAGGTAAAACCCACCCGCAGAATACATACAGGAAAGGCTGTACATCGGGGGGGGGATTCTTTCCTGATCACTATAGGTGACTGACTGAAGCCCTGAAGAATAAAATGTGATTACAGTCATTATCTTAATGCAGACCTGTAAATGTAATGAGCATGATGAGGGCCGTGCAAGCAATTATGTTCTCTATATGATCCAGGAAGGAAAGGGAAGTCTTTGCAAACTTAACTTTCTTTTAAAGCAGTTTTTGTATGTACTTCTTATTACCTCAAGATAAATTTTCAGTGTACTGGTCTGTCTAAATATAAAATATTTTGCCCTCTTGCTGATGTAACATTTGACTCATCTCTGTAAATACAATGAGTTTTAAGTTAAAGGGTAAAATCTTGATCTCCATTAAAGTGACTTGATTGGGGCCATGATTCCATCCAAAGTGTTTTAAACTTTGGAACATACCTGCCCTATTTATCCAGATGGCTTTCAAAAAAACAACAGACAGGATGTCAAATTGGTGAAAAGGCATATGAGGAGTAAGCTGTGCGTTTATTTCAAAAGCCAAGTCTGTATTTTGTCTCTCTTCAGTTGCTTTATGCACACAATTTTGTTTTTTATCACCTCAAGTGGCTGCAGTGGCAATTATGTTAACTCTATCTAGTTAAGGGATGCTGTAGCCTGGAGTGAACACTGATTCTCAACAAACATACTGTAACTAGTTCTTATTCAGTCAATTTCTACCTTTTTTTTTTTTCCAGATGTGGGGGAGAGACAGTAAGCTTACATTTTTTTGCACCAGTAAGGTTTTTACAGTGACTGGTTGAGAAGACAAGTTATGATATAACTAGCAGCTGTGATAATGAAGACTATCTGAGTAGGAAAGAGCACTGATTTTGAGGAGTGTGAAAGTCAAACTCTAGCAGATGGAAAAAGGATAGTGTTGTGAAATGTGATTTCACTACCATGTACTGAAACTAGGATAGACGTGGACAAGTCAGTGAGTACTGCGTCATAGCAACTATTTAAAAGATGAACTTATTACAGTCTGTTATCCATTCTGTTGTCAAACAAAATAACTTTTTTTTTTTTTTGGTAGGTAATATATCCTCAGCATTCAAAACTTACAGATAAAGAGGTGAGTAAGAGCTATTATATATACAGTACATTACATATTATGTCACTTTAAAATTGTGTGTTTCAGGAAATAAAACTGCTCTGTTGCTTTTTTTCCATTCCAGAAAACCAGTATTTGCTATTTGTCTTTTCCAGATTCCAATTCAGGTAAATGCTTCCTTTACTTTTGTCATCTGAAATCGGTGTGTGTTCTATTTCCAGACCAAACTATACTAAGACAGAGTTAAGTTTGACAGTACTTATCAGTAATTTAGGGTAAACCTGTATTACAAGGAATGTTGTGATTATCCACCCCCATTCCCACCCCCAAGCGTTACAAACCCAGGAAATTCAGTTTAACCTTAATTTAAAATAGGGCTGTCAAGCGATTAAAAAAATTAATCACACGATTAATTGCGCTGTTAAACAACAATAGAATACCATTTATTTAAATATTTTTGGATGGTTTTCTACATTTTCAAATATATTGATTTCAATTACAACACAGAACACAAAGTGTACAGTGCTCACTTTGTTTATTTTTGATTACAAGTATTTGCACTGTATAAAAACAAAAGAAATAGTATTTTTCAATTCACCTAATACAAGTACTCTAGTGCAGTCTCTTTATCATGAAAGTTGAACTTACAAATGTAGAATTATGTACCAAAAAAATCTGCATTAAAAAATAAAACAATGTAAAATTTTAGAGCCTGCAAGTCCACTCAGTCCTACTTCTTGTTCAGCCAATTGCTCAGACAAACAAGTTTGTTTACATTTGCAGAAGATAATGCTGCCTGCTTCTTGTTTACAATGTCACCTGAAAGTGAGAACAGGCGTTTGCATGGCACTTTTATAGCTGGCGTCGCAAGATATTTACATGCCAGATGCGCTAAAGATTCATATATCCCTTCATGCTTCAACCATCATTCCAAGGGACATGCATCCATGCTGATGACAGGTTCTGCTCGATAATCCAAAGCAGTGTGGACTGACGCATGTTCATTTTCATTATCTGAGTCAGATGCCACCAGCAGAAAGTTCATTTTCTTTTTTGGTTGTTCAGGTTCTGTAGTTTCCGCATCGGAGTGATGCTCTTTTAAGACATCTGAAAGCATGCTCCACGCCTTGTCCCTCTCAGATTATGGAAGGCACTTCAGATTCTTAAACCTTGGGTCGAGTGCTGTAGCTATCTTTAGAAATCTCACATTGGTACCTTCTTTGCATTTTGTCAAATCTGCAGTGAACAACTTAAAATGAACAACATGTTGGGTCATTATCCAAGACTACTATAACATGAAATATGTGGCAGAATGCAGGTAAAATAGAACAGGGGACATACAATTCTCCCCCAAGGAGTTCAGTCACAAATTTAATTAACGCATTTTTTTTAACAAACGTCATCAACATGGAAGCATGTCCTCTGGAATGGTGGCCGAAGCATGAAGAGGCCTATGAATGTCTAGCATATCTGGCATGTAAATACCTTGCAGTGCCAGCTACAAAAGTGCCATGCAAATGCCTGTTCTCCCTTTCTGGTGACATTGTAAATAAGAAGTGGGCAGCATTATCTCCCGTAAAAGTAAATGTGACAGGTTCTCTATCACGCCCCTCCTTCAGAGCCTGCTGGCTGTCCCAATAAAGTGCAGAGAGGCTTCCAATTATGCAGTACCCGTGGCTTTATTTACACACACAGTTCTCCCACCACCAGTGTTGAGCTATTTACAAGGCTTACAGGGTTAGATCCCTTTTTTCCTGCAGTCAGCCCACAGCTAGGAGACTGACCTTTCCCTGGCTGGCTTTTCTTCTGGCTCCCAGCCCTTATAACTGCTGGCTTGTCAGGCCCACAGGTGGAGCCAATCCCCAGGCCAGGCATCAGGTCTGTTTCACCAGCCCCAATCTATTTCTCTTGATTTGGAGCTGGCTGAGCAGGGGTAATTAGGTGCTTTTGCACCAGCACCCTGCTACAGTAAACGAACTTGTTTGTCTTAGCGATTGTCTGAACAAGAAGTAGGACTGAGTGGACTTGTAGGCTTTGAAGTTTTACATTGTTTTGTTTTTGAGTGAAGTTATGTAACAAAAAAAATCTACATTTGTAAGTTGCACTTTCACAACAGAGATTGCACTACAGTACTTATATGAGGTGAATTGAAAAATACTATTTCTTTTATCATTTTTACAGTTGAAATATTGGTAATAAACAAGATACACTTTGATTTCAATTACAACACAGAATACTATATGAAATTGTAGAAGAACATCCAAAAATATTTAATACATTTCAATTGGTATTCTATTGTTTAACAGTGCAATTAAAACTGTGAGTAACTCAAAAAAATTAATTGCAATTAAAAAAAATTAATCGCGTGAGTTAACTGATTAATTGACAGCTCTAATTTAAAATATTAAAATCTAGTTATTTGTACTGCGCTAATCTGTAGGAACCCCAGTTTATTATGTGTAAGTGAAATATTAGGAATGTTAGCTTGTGAAATGTGTGCTTTTCTTTCCACCTGTTGGTCTGAAAGCTTTTTATAAACAGTGACTAAACCTCCCAATATAACTATGAAATGGGTGGGTTATACAGCTGGGGAAACGGAGGCACAGAGGTTAAATATTTAAGGTTAGTAGGAGGTGGGAATATTGGATTGAAATAATTAAATGCTTCTAACTTGTTAAAAGTCTGTATTTCATTGTTATAAAAGCATGCTAGGCTCTCTGTCTTCTGTTTCTGTAATCCTTGCCTCTATTACTGTGTGTGGTCCTGCTTGCTGAACTCTTCTTTCACTTATCCTCTCCCTTCTCAACTTCCAAAGGGAGTTGAAGACTTGTAATTAGCAACTTGGGCCCCCTGCAAAGTTCAGATTCTGTAATTTTTAAGAGGAAGGATGTGGGAAAAACAGGCTTGCTGTTAATATGCTCTGCCAAAAGTTTTTAGCGGTTATGTAACTTTTACAATTTGCTTAGCCTTATTTTTGCCTATTGTCTTGTGACTAAAACTGAGATAATATATTTTCTTTGTTCTAATACCTGTGGTAGAGGAGCAGTTCTTTCCTGAGTCCTGCATATAATTGGCTTACATTCTGAACCATGAAATGTATTACCCTCACCTGAGATGACTATAAATGTGAATGGTTGCAAATTTATCCAACACTTAAAAATCACACAGGAAAGTATAATGTATCAAGAATAAAACCTAACGTTAAACTCAAAAATAGTACTAACATACTTTTAGAAAGAATAGATTAAATTATTCTAGGAGTATAGTGTATAAAACTGGATTAATTTTAGGAGAGAAACCATTGTTTGTTGCTGATAGTGTGACTTACTTTAGAGTTCCTATAATAATGGTCGTGTATGAAAAAAGATATAGCTCATGAGAGTCCTTCCCTGGATGAAAATGCTATTCCAGAGGTTAGCCTAGAAAATTGTTTATATTAACAAATAAAATAAAAGCTATACAACTTGAAGATTTTTTTTTTTTGTTAGGCTTTAAATCTGAGCAGGAAAGCTTAATACAACATAAGAACAAATTTTGAAGGCGGTTGTTAGCTTGCAGCTGAATCAAGAGCCACAGTCTATCAGGCCTTACATTCTATCCCCTCTATGCCATGAATCAGGCCGCGTGACAATGAATTAGAAATTCAGGTCTACTTGCTGGAATGAACAAGGGAATTTTTGCTCCCCAAACCACTATGGTCACTAAAGGAGTTAGGATTTCTCCTGTCATTTTGGGAGACCAAGCCATACTCTTTGCTTCCCTGGCTTATGGAGCTTTTACTGGACACTTGAATAAGAGAAAGGAGTGATTTAACTATACCCTGAGTAGTTGCAGAATAACAGTTGAGCATGCATTTGGAAGACTGAAAGGAAGGTGATGGTGCTTTCCATCAAGGCTGAATGTTTTTCATCATTATGTGTCTTGTGTGATAAGTGCTTGGCATATATTGCACAACGTCTGTAAGAGCAAGGAAAGAAACCCTGGACGAAGGGGTGGGAGCAGGTGGCAGGGAGACTTTCTGAATGTTATGGACAGCTGGAGAGGGTATCTTGCAAGGAGGATTATTTTCTGTGGCCCAAAACACCAAATAGTTCACTTTTAAAAAAAAAAAGTTGCATGTGGACTCAAAGCACTGTAAGGCAAACAAACTGAAGTTACTCTGATGTATCATCCCTGTGTAGACAAGCCCTCAATTAAAGTCTGTTAAAATCAAGATACCATTATTGCCTCCTTTTTTTTCCTGTTTTTGTTTTGGCATAGGTTGTCTTGGAGACACACAGTTTTGTTTTAGATTCCGACAATCTTCTAGTAGGAGGCTCTCACTGCAATGTATGCTGGACCAGCTGGACAGAGACTTGCCAGTTTCCTTAAAGGTTGGAAATGCACTAAAGGAAATATATCCTAATTTAAAAACAGAAAGTTCAGAAGTACACTTAAAATTTAGCACAGGTACCCTAACTCTGATCTGAATTTTTGGTGTTGGTGTCATAATGACCAAATTTAATTTAGAGAAGTTGATTAAGAAACATTTTCAAAGAGAAATATTCATAAATTTCCTTCTTTTGTTACATGATATTACCAGATGGTATTTGAATTGTAAACTGTTCTAGTAGTTATCACCTTTATTAAGTACTTTTTCTGTATATATGCTATTTATCGCTAGATAAGTGGTGTGGTACAGGGAATTTCCACCGATGACCAGATCCACTCCATGGGTTGCCCTGAAAACTAAAGATAGAAAGTAGTCAGATCCATGATCCTGAATAAATAATTGATTTGGTTTCTTAATGAAAAATAAAAATACTTTTTACTTTCTAAGATCTGAATTCAGAGTTCTGTTTTTCTTTCAGCTATTGATGGCATCGCCTAAATCAAAGCTGCACTTTCTGAATTCCTTTACAAAACTAATTATCTTCATCTACTTCTGGGAAAATACAGAACCCTGAACTCAAGCCTTAATTAATAAATATAGGTGGAAAAGGTTGTGAATTCTTGGGTTTAGGGTGGATGGAAATGGTTTAAATACTTTGTGCTAAAATAGGTTTGTTTTAAGTCTGTGCATTCTTTTTCTTAATGCTTTGGGAATGTTTTAGATTAACTTTTTAACGTGTGCTTTTAAACATTAGTTCATAGTCATATGATTTCAATACAAACCAAAATCAGGAGACCAAGATTTAAATTACTAAAATATGAAAAGGAAAGGAAAAACATCTTGAATACTTAATGAAAATGTCCACAGTGAGCCTAGAGCGAAGGATTCCTTATTTGTCAGAGACAGGTTTTAACTAAGGCTAAGATTTTATCACGGTTATTTTTAGTAAAAGTCACAAACAGGTCACGGGCAATAAACAAAAATTAACGGAGCCTGTGACCTGTCCCTTACTTTACTAAAAATAACTTGGGGGGGGGGGGGGGGGTAGGTAGGGGGGGGGGAATGGAGTCCCATGGGGGGGGAGGGGGAGAGATTGACAGGCGCCATCCCGTGGTCCCTCCTCCTCCTTCCCCCCCGGTTCTAGGGGCTGCAGCGGGGGTGCAGCCACGGGGGGGTACAAAGCCCCCTCTCCAGAGCTGGCAGCAGCTATGGGACAGGGGTGCGCAGCCCTGCCAAGCCACGGTGGGGATGGGGGCACACGGCCCTGGGAAGCCACCAGTAGGGTGCATGGCCCCTGGTCTAGCCACCGGGCAGGGGCACGTGGCCCCGGCCCTGGCTGCGACCCCCAGTGGAAGCAGCCGGACTGTTGCTGCAGGGTCCTGATTCCAGCCAGCTCCAGTTGTAGGGTAGGCGCACACAGTTCCACCTCCTTCTCCTGGAGCCCTAGAAGTCACAGAGGTCCGGTAAAGTCATAGAATCTGTGAACTCTGTGACTAAATCGTAGCCTTAGTTGTAACATATGAACTGTAATCTAAGTATATGGTGTATGCCTGTTGGTTGTTTAACATAATCTGTATTGTCGTGACAATTTTTAAACAATTTTTTCTTAGTCCAGTAGAAGCTCTTCAGTTCACCGTTAAACCTTACACTATGTAGCATAGCTCTCTTTTTTTTTTTTTTACAAATTTCAGTATTGACATGTTTTTTTTCTTACTGATAATCCATGCCAAACTGTTGATGAGATAATTTATAGCATTATATTTGACTTTCTGATAGTGTTTTCCAGGGGAAACTAAGTCTGGTTGCAGAAAATTTCAGGGGGACATGGGTACAGGGAGAATAGAAACAGCAAGCACATTGAACAAACAATAAGTCCAGCTAGTGCTACAATAAGTCCATCTTGAGCTTTTTTGTTCAAGCAGTTGTAGAATTTTTAGTTCCTGTAAAGAGGGTGAAGCAAATTATCCTTTCACGTTACCATAGATATCAAATTTAGAGTATGTAAGAAAACATGATGTTTTAAATAACACATAGAATGTTCAAAAATAGGGAACAGTCTTTACTTTCAAATTATTGATTTTTTTTTTTTTTTTAACAGAAGGACCCTGCATATTACTATGGCTATGTATATTTTAGACAAGTTCGGGACAAAACATTAAAAAGAGGCTACTTCCAGAAGGTAATGAAATGTCTTACTAGAAAAACATGTACAACATCAATTCTTGAGGCCATTAGACTTGAAGCTCAGTAAGGCAGAAGCAGTGTGTCTCATGCTTTTCTTTACAGTTCTGAGCATATTGGTGCTCAAGAAATGAAATATCACTTACCTACCATTGAACTATAGCTGCAAAAAAAATTGTAGGGCATTCATTGTATTCTTCTCACTATAAATGTTATTCATAAGTCATTATTTTATATAGTCTGCATGTATATCTCCAAAATAATTGTGTCCACAGTACCTTTTAGAAAGAGTAGTCCATCAAATGGAAGAAAAACTCCAATAGCGAGTTTGGTTTTTGTACATTTTAGTTTATAGGATCAGAGAAATAGATTCCTGATACTCTGATTACTGAGGGTGAAAACACTTGTAATGTTCATCAGCTCAATATTATAATGTGAAGAAGCCATACTAGAAAGTTACTCAGACTATGTGGTTTATAGAAATTTTATAAATAAAATTCCTGTCCACACTGGTGAAATTAAGTAACCATGTTAGTAAATGGTTGGAGAATACTGTTCTGAGAAAACTGTGCTTAGTGGCTTTGGAACTGTTATAACACATTTTCAAGCTATAGTGTGGGCCAAGCTTTAAATAGTACTCATTTTAATAGGAGGAAGAACATCAACTCTGTTGTTGAATTCAGTCTTTTCTAAGTTTCTTCTTATATTTACATCTCTTAGCTGGTGATCCACTCCCTTCCCATTATTGGTTCTGATCTAGACCTTTTATAGGTTTCCATATCTGAAAGATGGAAAGGTGTGTATGTGTGAACCAGTGCTGTTGTGGCTCTACTCTGAAAAATGCTCAAATTTTTGTTTATTTTTTAAAACTCCTTACTCAACACATCTTCTGTGTCTGAAGTAATATTTGTGTACTTCAGTGACAAATAATTTTAACTACTTTTCACTCTTGTTAGCCCTGCAAATCCAACAAAACTACAGCAGAATTAGCTGAATTTTATTCTGGCTTTTATCTAATCAACAGAATTGTTAACCAAATTCCAATTGTAGGGCTAAACTTTACTCTCACTAGAAGCTTGCATAAATATAACTGAGGGCAGAATTTGACTTGCAGAGTATAAATTACTGGTGACGATGCACAAGCCAGAAAGAACTCAGTTTGTCTTTAAGTTTCCTGGTTGAGCTGCAGGTTAGGCTGTTATTAAAGCCACCTGTTTAATTATAGTAAACTGAGCAAGCTTAACACAGAAGCCTTTGTATTGCACACAATCACACCATGCCATTTGTTTTTCAAAGCCAAACTACGCTATATTGAAACAATAAATTGGTAGCTGCTGGCATTTATAGATCTGTTTGTCGTTACTTGTAGTTACACATGACTTGTTGCTAAATGATCGGGGTTTGTTTTTGGTTTTTTTTTGTAAAAATGCATATTACTACTTTTCGGAGGGACTCAATTAAAATTATTTAATCTTGCTTTCTTTATTCCAGTCCTTGGTTCTCATCAGCAAACTACCTTATATCCATCTTTTCCACACTGTGCTTAGGCATATAGCACCAGAATATTTTGTAAAGAACGAACCTTTCCTGGAAGCAGGTTAGTTAATACTATTTTATTGGTTTGGAAAAGCTCATAAAAGATTACAGAAATTCCATGCAATAAATAAGCTAAATACTGATGGCATTTTCTAGCTTGTTAATAACAGGAAAAAAAGATTGTAGCTTGCATGTATTTTCCATCTGGGTGGGCTGTTAGTTAAACTCTTAAAAATTGGGTTGAAGACTTATTATCTAGAAGATTATAATATGGTAGAACCTGACTCCTTCCAAGGGTATCACAATGCTCCCCATTGAAGAGCCAGAAATCTGTCCTCTCCGTCTGGGGACCACCTGCTCAACACAGGTAGTTGGCAGCCTCCGTAATTTGCTCTCCTTGCAATTTGGATTCACTGTCACAGAGAAAGGTATAATGGCTCTCGAGCTTTTGCTGATGAGAAGGGGAGAGTAGGTGGAGGAGGCAGTGGCATTTTAATAGCTTCCTTATTCCCATTGGATCCTCTGAACTTCTGGAGCTACTGATATGGGGACACTAAGAATCTGGGTTTGCCTCCATCTCCCAGAAGCAACAGCAATAGGAGACTACCAATAATAAGTGACTCATCACTATCTCAGAGCTTCACTAAATGCCATAAATGGTCCAGATGTGAGATACGTTCTCCTTTTTGCCCAGGCTGGTTCTGCCCTGAGCAGTGTCTTGCTGCTTTGTGCTTCAGTGAACAGCAATTTTGGAATCAACTTTCAGTGGGGATTTGCAATTTACTGGAGTGCATATCAGCAGGGTTTTACTGTATTGTATCCCAATCTTTGACCAAAAACCAACTTTTTCTTCTGTGCTTAAAGCTCGCACCTGCTGAACTAGTGAACAGTATTCACAACTACAAATTCTAGAAAACCTGTAAGCTTTCTAGCCACATGGGTTTATCATTGACATATCGCTAATATTTATTGTTTATCTTTAAAAAATTTAGTTGCAAACTGTGCTCATGGCTAATCTGTATAACCATGTGTTCCTTTTACTTTCTCTTGCTATGTAGTTGTACTTACCTAATACAATGGAGTCCTGATCCTAATTGTGGCCTCTGGCTGCTACTGTAATATAAATAAAAGGAAAAGAAGACAAAGTGATACCTTCTTATTGGACCAATGAATAATTTACAATACCTTATATTAGAATAACATGCACCATTGAACTTGTCTATGGTATGCAATAAGATGTGTTCAGAATGTGAGGCATACAAAGTAGATGACTAAGTGAAAAGTTCTCAGGGGAGTGATGCTGTTGGGGACAAATGTTAATTTAAGACTTAAATTGTTCAGTATGTGTACAAGTAATTTGAATTTCTAGGAGTATGGGATATATATAACTAGATATACAGCATACTGTACCTATTTGACTCTGTTTTTCAGTTTGTAGTGATGTTGATCATTGGCCACCACCAGTCCCAGGGAAAACACTAAATTTGCCTATTATGGGCATTATAATGAAGGTAAATGAATGGCTTTTTACCGGGTTTCCCCCTCCCCCATTGACTGTATATATTAAGTGTATTCTGCCTTGTTTTCATAGTTAAGATTGGGAGGATTCAGAGTAAATGTCCTGGAGCCCTTTGAAAACATATTAAAATAGATATTTATAATTTTAATCACTAATATTTTACATAGAGGTTCAAAACAAATGTTTCAAAAACAAATTTCCAGTCCTCAGCAGCTAGCTAATTGCTGTTTCAACACCTTTCCTCCAGAATATACTTTCCAAGAGGTTTTCATAGTGATTTCATTGACGTGCCAAAATATACTGGCACATTGGAGAAAACTTTAAAATATTTAGGGCTAAATTTTCTACTATATGAATATAACACCATTCAAGTCAGTGGAGATACACTGATGGAAACTGGAGGAAAATCTGGCTTGTCCTAATAGTTTTACAATATTTTACAAATCTGCAAATCAGTCAATATATGGGGCCTGGCAGTCCAAGAAATTAAGCAACTTAAAAACTATCCCTACCCCTAATATTGAATACAAAACAATTAAAAAAACAATTAAAAAAGCTTAAGCTAGTACACACTAAACTAAACCATAGCAACTGCAGTGGTTGGATGGGGATAGGAACTGAAGCATTTGGGAGCCACATTCCTTCATAGCCTTGAATGGATTTCATGCATGCAGAGTTTGTGACTGCAGAGTTGCTGTTAGCAAATGGTTCCAGGCCTGTGGCCAGAGGCCTGTGCATTCCCAAAGATGGAGATCTGTGAGAGACAATTCTGAAAAAATAAACTGTTCTTACTAATAAAGCAGTGTTCTGTTTTTATTATAACTTCTAATTGGCAAGAATTGGATCTGCCTTATTTTGGGGTATCTTCTGTTTTTCTAAATTCTGAATATTTAATTCTCAGATAAAAGAAAACAGAATGCTCTTTTATAATGGCTTTATTTTTTGGCATGTAGTTACTTGGAAAGTGTGGGAGGCTGCTACTGGTACTTTCAGCTGTATCATGGCTCCCCCACCACCACCACTACCACTATGCTTAGGCAATTACTAGCTCTGTTTCAGTCTGCACTCCTGAGCCTCCACACCACTGGTTTCCGATGAGATATGATTTAGGGTTGCAATACTAACAGCTGCAGGTTGTGAGGTCAGGAACTACATAAACATTTTTCAATTTGTTTTGGTTTCAACCAATAGTTACAAAGAAGTCTGAGGTTTTGAGAGACACATTCTCAATGGTAACTACCATTTTAAACTGAGAAGCGTAAAACCTATGTAGGATATTTCTTTCCTAACTTCTAAAATGCCACAGGTTCTGAGCTCTCTGTTTTCATTAGGATTTTTTCTATTAAAATGAAACTTTCAGTTTGCCTCTGGTAAAACAAACCAATCATACTCTTATTTTTAAAAATGTTTAGTCATGTAATATTGTGTAGGATTCTTTAACATAAATATAGTTCTTGTAGCTGTGCTCTCTAGCTAGATTTTCAATATTGTCAGGGGGAGTTAATTATCACTCTTTGAAGTAGTACCCACTTATTTATTATTTTCCGAAAAGTTCAGCCTGAGGCAGACAGCCTGCATGGAAAACTTCAGCCCAAATAGTTAAAATTTGACAAAGTTATAAGAAACTGAAAACAGGGTCTTGTAATGGGAAATGTCAGGCAACCTTAATAATAGGCAGTGCTCTGAGCACTGCCTAAAATGTTGTCTCATACTTGGTATTCTAAGCTTAAATTAGTTGGATATAAGGAAGGCTAATTACTTTTTTTTCCTCCTAAGGTGCGGATTCCAACATGTCATGACAAGCCTGGAACAACCCACATAGTACAGTTCACACACCAGGTAGATATCAGATATTGCTATAGTACAGACCACTGAAATCTGTATCTTTCAGTTTTAAATTATTATTAAATTATTACTATCTTGGTGTATTCTAGGTGTGTGAATTATAGTATTTTAATGCTGATATACGCAACATATCCGTTTTCTTCCTTTTTTGGATGAGTAAGTGAAAGCAGTTTGAGATGGCTTCTTTGTCTGTACAAATTTTAATGAGTTTGATCTTAAAGCACTGTCCATTCTAAATTATTTATTTTTGTTTTCTAAAAGGGGTACATGTAGAAACAATCTTATTAAAATAAATGATGAAAAATCAATAATACTATGCTGTCACACAAAAAGAGGCACTATTGATTATAGTTAGGCCCCAAGTTACTGAAGGCTAAACACATTGACTTGCATCTGGACAGCAAATTGAAAGTTGATGCTGATATTGGAGCACAGTGTAATGTGTTCCCTGTGAGAAGCACGATGGAATGCTTTAGTATGTCCCCTTCAATATCTTTGCAGACCATCCTTTCACTGCAGTCCCCTGATTTTTTTTATGCTCTTATGTATTGTGCACCTTGAAGAAACCTATCTGAAGGAGCTCAACAAGTCTGTTTTCCTTAAAGGCTTTTGACACTGTGTTTCACATCTCATGCTCGGGGTTGCATAGCCACACAGGCCATTTAATTTTGTGGTGCCGGGGCCTAGCAAAAAGGCAGCTGTACCTGAGAGAACATATTGCTCAAATGTGATATGGTGGCTTAAGAGATGTTTCCATGAAGCATTGTTTGCCTGAATAGTTATTGAATAGTTTGAGAAATGTCTATACAAATAGTTTCTGGGTGGGTTATGCAACAATTTTAGAGTGGGCCTGTGATGAAAAGGGAATTTTCTGTAGTATTTTTGTGAGTCCTATGTAAGCCTCAGTTTCCCCTGAAGGTGGGGAGGACTAAGTCTGCTCTCAGGGCAGGCTTAGAGGTGGAGGTATGTCACCGAGCTGTCTGGAGCCTGAATGGGTCATTTAAAAAGGACTGGCCAAGGCCAACTCCATATCAGTGGAAAATTCAAGAAGACAATGGAAAATCCAGTCACCAGGACATTGACACCTAGCAACCAATGACGGAGAGAGAGATGGATTTCCCTGACTCTCAGCAGGGAAGCTGGGCACAGACCCCAGTTCGAGAACAAGGGACTTGGATGTGTAAGGTTAGGGGATAAAGGGTTGGCTTCTAGAATGAATCTGGGCTCTCACCTGGAAACTGGCAAAGGAAGTCAGACTGTGAGAGAGAAACAGCACCTGAACAAGGGGTTCACTACAGTGTGGCTGGGACTCTGGGCTAACCAGAATGAACTACTTCAACCTTCATTTCTCTGTGCTAACCTAAGGATTGCGATGCTGTGTGCCAGGTAACGAATAAATGGTTACCTCCTTTTAAAAAGGCTGACTGTCGCATTGAGAGCGTGACGCTCTGAAGAGGCACAGTACAAGCCTCCTGCAAGACTGGTTTGGCTGGATTTGCTGCAGTGAGCCATGAGTGAGAGATGGGGATGCTGGTGCTGAAGGCCCACTCTTAGAGGCCACAGGCCTGCCCATATGGAACTGTGTGGGCCCTTGGGATCTGGCACACCAAGGAGTCACTCCTAGGAGACTGATAACCAGCTCCTAGACATAGACCAGATCCTGTGACTCCGTGACAGTGCCATAAACCAAGAAGTCAGGACACTTTCCCTATATACTATTTTCATTTTCAGTGGCTTATAAAGGGAGTGGTGGTTTTGTCACAGTGGTAAAATCAAATTAGTAGGTACCAATTTGTAAAAGGTCACAGAGGAGTCATGGAATTTGTTGTGGATGGGCTAATGGTTAGGGCACTAGCCTGGGATTTGAGAGACCTGGATTCAGTTCTCTGCTCTGCCAGAGACTTCCTGTGTGACCTTGGGCAAGTCAGTTAGCCTCTCTGTGCCTCAGATCCCTATCTGTAAAAATTGGAACTAATAATACTTCCCTACTTTACGGGAGTGTTGTGAGGGTAAATACGCTAAAGATTGTGAAGCATTTTGCGATCTGCTGCTGATAAGCACTGTACAAAAGATAGGTATTATTATTTATTAATTAATAAATTAGATAACCCTTTCCCAATTCTAGGTGCTTATGGCAATTGCATTAAGCAAAACAAAACATTGAATATGGCTACTTATCTAACAGTTTGGGAATTCAATGCCAACAAAATCATCTGTAATTCTACTACTTTAAACCCCTCCATAAAAAGTCAGGAGTATATTTTCTTCCTGTGCCCCTTCTCTAATTGTGCTCTGATGGCAATCAAGTGCAGGCTCTCTTAGACCAAGGAGCAAGTTCCAAGGTTGAAAACTCCTTACAGAAAATATCCTGCCAGCGGCCCCTTTTTTGATCAAGGGGTTTATGATACAGAGGCCCATTGGTGGTTCACTACTCTGTGTCAGCATCTCCTGTCAGGCCTGACATACTCATTACATCTGAGTCCTGATAGATACCTAAAAGGTGGCATGTAATATAGAATCATAGAATATCAGGGTTGGAAGGGACCTCAGGAGGTCATCTAGTCCAACCCCCTGCTCAAAGCAGGACCAATCCCCAACTAAATCATCCCAGCCAGGGCTTTGTCAAGCCTGACCTTAAAAACCTCTAAGGAAGGAGATTCCACCACCTCCCTCCTGTGTGATAGTCTGTTTGAAAGCAGTAGGGGTTTTGCTGGTGGAAAGGTGCCAGATCAGGCATTCAGGTTCTCCTGGGCTGGTGCTCTCTCCTGACAGAGCTACACAAAATGTCAAGGAGAAGGCAGAACGGTCTGCCCCGTATGGCACACTGGGCTGACCCCAGAAGTAGTTCTGATGTGGCTGCAGAAAGGCTCCCCCAGGTTAGCACTGTGGTATCTCTAGTGAGCGTCCCAAGAGAAAGCGGTTCACACCATACCTCTGCCTGCCTGCTTAAAAAGCAGAGGTCTCCTTTATTCTCATTACTGGAAGATTAATAACTCACTGATCATTAATATTCTTGTGTGATGTATGTAGGGGTGTGTACAGAGAGTTATAAATATGTGCTAGAATTATCTTCTTAATGTGTTTGGCAAGCAGTGCATAAGCTCAGTCTGCCTTAGACAAAGGAATATGTATTTGCTTCTATGATCAGCCTGGTTGTCAGGCAGATACAATGAAGGCACATTTACATCTAAAGTAAACAAAACTATCAATCTAACAAGTAGGGGAGAAGACAGCATGGCTCTACCTGCAAGCAGGAAAGAGAAGCTTGGTGTGGGCTTACTCTTCAAATAATATATTTAAAAGGTTTATTGTCAGAGCATCAAATGGTAAGCAGTTGATCAACTGATTTATAATACGGTAACACTGTATACAAAGTGTAGCGAGTAAGGTCTTCTATGAAAGTCTGTGACACACTGATGATTAATATCATTGTGGGATGTATGTATAACACTGAGGAACTGTGGATACTAACTGATATTGTGCTTTAAAGTCTGTGACCAAACAAAGGGAGAAACAGGAGGGAAGGCAACTATCTACCTGTCTCCAGTGAAAATTAAGCAGTGTGGAATCAAAACAATGGAAGCTCTGTTTACGTACAAATCAGCAGGGGAAGGGGAAGAATAGCAAGAAGCCTTCCTGGCTCTTGAAACAGAGATAATAAACTTTGAGCTGATATAAGAAGGGCAAAAAAGTCATTTGAGTTATCCATCACTTGGGGGATTCAAGGGGAGAGAGCCCTTGAAGTCACAGAACACTGAGTCCTTCAACCAAAGGGTTGAAGTCACTGAGACTGAATATAGGCGAAAAACATATTTAAGCAAATGATAATCCTTGCCTACGTTACACCGTCAACCTGTGGAACGCTTTGCCAGAGGATGTTGTGAAGGCCAAGACTATTACAGGGTTCAAAAAAGAACTGGATAAATTCATGGAGGATAGGTCCATCAATGGCTATTAGCCAGAATGGGCAGGGATGGTGTCCCTAGCCCCTGTTTGCCAGAGGCTGGGCAGCAGGGGATGGATCACTTGATTACCTGTTCTGTTCATTCCCTCTGAAGCACCTGGCATTGGCCACTGTCGGAAGACGGGATACTGGGCTAGATAGACCTTTGGTTTGACCTAGTATGGCAGTTCTTATGTACTCGTAAAAGCATACTTTTACTTTTGTTTGTAACCATTGCTATCTTTACTCCTTATACTTGGTATGACTTAAACCTATGACTTCTTGTTTATTAAACTTGTTTTATTTTTGCTATAAAACAATTCAGTGCTGTGATTGAAATAGTGTTTGTCAAACCCTGGTTAAATTAATGAGCTGCAGTGTATTTTCTCTTTAAAGGAACAATTAATTTAATTACTTCTGTGAGTGTTCCAGGAGAGGGCTGTTCACTATTTGTTACCTGTAAGGCAAGGTTTGGACAGGAAGAGTCCTGAAGAGTTTGCTGGCAAGGCACACAAGCTGGTGTGTCAGGGAATTGCCACGCAACTTAGCAGTAGCAAAACTCTCATTTGCTCAGGCTAAGAGGAGTAACACGGTAACTCACAATTCTGGGAATCCCAGCAGACTGTCTAATTGGCAGAGGATTTTGGGAACATTTTGGATTGGAAGAGTGGCGTGGTTACTTTTCAAAAAGAACAAGGCAGTGGAAATCAGGGTGTGATCTGGATGCTTGTATGCTGGTTGTTGGCATCAAGGCTGAGAGCCACAGCAGTGTAGCATTTAAGGCACCCAGAGTTGCTGGGCAGGTGGTGTCACAACCCCTTACTAGTCTGGGTTGAACCCTAAAACATCAGAGGGCTATTAGTTCAAGCAGCTTAGTTGATACCTTTACAGTTGACACCCATAGAGAGAGGTTACCAAGTGAAAAACCATTTAAGGCTCAAAGACAAAACCATCGTTGCTTTAACCATTGCCTTAAACTTCCCCTGGAAACTACTCAAAAGCAACTGCAGGCTCTGGAGCAAGGTTCCTTTAAATAAGTCAGATTTCTTCACATTGATTTCAGGATGCGGGCAGGTGGAGTGCAGCTTCCTCAGCATTTGGCTATTGGGGAGCTGACTCAAAAATTACTGTTTAGGGGACAAATCCCTAAAAGTTCCATATTTGGTCACAGAAGCCATGGATATGATAAACCCGCTGGTTTATATTTTCTCCTAAATCTCATGGGCTGAAATGTCTTAAACGTTTCGTATCATCCCTGGGCTAAGACTTGACAATTGCAACAAACTTAATGGATATTTACTTTATCCTTGGCACAGGTCAATAACTAATATGGATGTGACACAGTCATTTCCTGCTTTTCAGTTTTGGCCCATTGTCTGTAAACATTTGAGGGCAACTTTTATTCAATACTTTAAATTGTTTTATACTGACTAAAAAGTTAATTTTCTGCCTTTCAGGAAGACACACAAATCTCCATTGCTTTACCTACTGTTCATGAAGTGGATCTTTTCAGGTAAGAATTTGGCCTTATTTTTCAGTAGTATTGGCCTGAGTGTGATTTGTGAATATTCAATAGGAGCTTCATGAAGCATGACTCTCTAGTTAACCAACTAATTTTAGCAGCATCTTTGCAAATAGTTGTTAAGGCATTGTTTGCATTAAGATGACTTAAGGAAAGTACATCTAACACTGGTTGAAAGTAACTACAATAAGTAGCAAGGTCTATATACACCTCTACCTCGATATAATGCTGCCCTCGGGAGCCAAAAAATCTTACCGCGTTATAGGTGAAACCACGTTATATTGAACTTGCTTTGATCCACTGGAGTGCGCAGTCCCGCCCCCCCGGAGCACTGCTTTATCACGTTATATCCGAATTCGTGTTATATCGGGTCGCATTATATCGAGGTAGAGGTGTAATTGAATATTTATTTATGGGAAAACTGTTCTAATAACTTGAAAAGCAGGTAAAATGTTTACTATAGTTTTTAAACGTCCTTTATCTAGTTCTGTCCTTTTAACTGGAATTTGTATTCATTCTGGTGATAAGTATATTGAAAGTGTTTATATGCTCTTTCTATAAATCTGTTTGCAGATGTTTCTGTCCAGTATTCTTTCACATTCAGATGCTTTGGGAACTAGTGTTATTAGGAGAACCGGTTGTTGTTATGGCACCATCACCTTCTGAATCTTCAGATACTGTTCTGGCACTTGTTAGGTAAATATGATAGAGCATCCTTACAGTTCAAGTTCTGTTGATTTAAGAAGAATATTGAATAGCATCTAATGAAGCTCTAGAAATTTGACATTTATTAGTGAAATATTGTATCTTTATGTATATACTTATTTAACCTTCTATGTTTCTGTTCCACAGTTGTATTTCACCTTTGAAGTACTGCAGTGATTTTAGGCCCTACTTCACTATACATGACAGTGAATTCAAAGAATATACCACTCGTACACAGGCCCCGTAAGTAAGATTGATTACAGGTGTAAAAGTTGATGTTCAGGTCATTCTTGCACCATAACAGTGGCTTAAAGTGGAAACCGAAAAAGAATAAATCTAATTTTTTGAGACTTTGGTTCTGGACATTTTGGAAAGAAAACCCCTTCTTTTTGGTGTTGTGACACAGCAGGCTATATTTAACTATTTTATACAAAATGGGGAATAAACTCGCTAGGCATTAGTACTGCTGAAAACGATCTGGCAGTTATGTTGGATCACAAATTGAATATGAGTCAACAATTTGATGCAGTTGTGAAAAAGGCAAATATCCTTCTGTGTTTATTAACGGGAGTATCTGTTCCACTCAGCTCTGTAGTGGTGAGGCCTGAGCTGAAGTATTTTGTTCAGTTCTACGCCCTGCTCTCTAAGAAAGATGAGGACAGATTGGAGAGAGTCCTGAGGAGACCAAGGAATATGATAAAGGGTTTAGAAAACATAATCTATGAAGAAGAGTTAAAAACATAAAACAAAACAAAACTGAGCATGCTTAGTCTTGAGAAAAGACAACTGAGGGGGGACCTGATCAGTCTTCAGGTATGTTAAGGGCTGTTAAAAAGAGGATGGTGATCAATTGTTCTTCATGTCCATTGAAGGAAGGACAAGAGAAAATGGGTTTAGTCTGCAGCAAGAGAGATTTAGATTAGATATTAGGAAAAACTTTCTAACTATAAGGGTAATTAAGTTTTGGAACAGGCTTCCAAGGGAGGTTGTGCAATCCTCATCATTGGAAGCATTTGTTCAGCCTGTTCTTAAAAATCTGTCAGGGATGGTTTAGGTATACTTGATTCTGTCTCTCGAGGTCCCTTCCATCCCTTCGTTTATATGATTCTATTTTAATTGTGGTTAATCCTACTATTTAAGAAAAAAAGAAGAGCTGAAACCTGTGGCATAATGTTAGTCATCTCATATTTAGAATCATACTTGAAGTCAGTGGGACGTCTGTGTACCTGATTGGTGAAAGGGTTGAATCCTGAATAGAAAAGATGCTTTGCTCTTCAGTACGCGCTTGTCTGCACGGGGAAACTGACCCCAGAATAGCTACAGCAGAACAAATTATTCTGTAATAGTTATTCCAGAATAGTTCCTCATGGAGTTGGTATATTCTGGAATAAAAGTCACTTCATTCCAAAATAATTACTGCATAAAATGACTAATTTTGGAATAGAGCATCCATACAAGGGTCTATCCTGGAATAGCTATTGTATAATAGCTTATTTCACAACAGCTATTCCATTAAATTTCCATGTGTAGACAAAATTTAAGAAGAAGTTTGTGCTTTCCTCAATGAACCTGTGTGAATGTATCAGTCATATTTGTGGATTTTAGTATTTGGGAAATATCATTTGAAATCTTGAATTTTCATAATTGCTCTTAGACCACATTGTGGCACTTCAGATCCATATTCAAATGTTGGTAACCAGATCATATATTTATATTCAAAATAAGTATTTTATTGAAATATTACAACTTAATCAATGATTGATTGTTTGCATTAGACTTACTGGTCATTTTCTGAACAAGGTTCCTTTAAAGCGTGAGCAACTGGTGACTGTTCTGCTGAAATTTTTTCTTCTTTAATAAAAAAAAAAAAAAAAAAAAATCCTTCTCAGAAAACACAGTAATGGAAAAGCATCCAAACTTGGACACTATATTTGTGGTCCATTTATTTTTAGCAAATAAATTGCAAACTGAATAACCAGTCGCATGGAATCCAAAGTAGTGTTCGTCTAAACTTTAGTGACCCATGTTTAAAAATATCATCTGTTCATGTACACGAGAGAGAAATGCATTCTTCTGGTTTTCTTCGTTAAAAAAATTAGAGACTGGAAAAGGCGTTTATTTCTGAGAGTCCCTTGTTCTAAAGATGGTGAATTCTGACAATAGAGTTTCCATGCAGTGCTTCAGCATCCAGGGTAAAAAGAGTGATAGCGTGTTTTTGTCTTACCATTTTTCTGTGAGAGTTCATTTGAAAAAGACAAAAATACCCTATCACAAAACGATCACTCCACATCTGACCTCTCAGTCCTCAAAGGAAACCTGCACAAACACCTTCAAAAGACAAGCCTGGGAGCTTAAATTCATAACTTGGCTAGACACTGAAAATAATAGACTTAATAGAGCCACTCGTTTTGTTTCACTGCAATAATCTGTAACCCACTAACCCACCTTTGCCCTATGACTGCAGTAGTCAGTTGCCCACTTTATCATGTGTTAACTCCTTATGCTTAACAGTCTGTTCCATATTGTATTTAGTGTGACACTCCAATTACTTTTACCAGACCTGAAGAAGAACTCTGAAGAAGAAGCTTGAAAACTTCTCTTTCACCAACAAAAGTTGGTCTGATAAAAGATATTACCTCACTAATCTTGTCTCTCTTATATACTGGGACCAACAGGGCTACAACAACAGTGCAAACAAAAAAGGAAAAAATTAACAGTGAAATACATTGAATTATGCAATGGTCTCCTAACACCTGGGACTTCTTCAGTCTAGTTTTAGAAAGCACAGTGTTTTCTAATAGCAAACAATCATGCATCAGCAGGGAAATAGGCTAGATGATCTAATAAGTTTCTCCCCTCTTAAATTCCTGGTCATCTGGAGGAGCAATAGGTCATTTGACAAAGGACATGGACCGACACAAGTTTTAAAGTAATAACTGCTTGTCATAGTAAAACCTTGAAGTAGCAATTTGACTTTTAGATACACACAAGATCAAATTGCTGTTATATCTATGTAAATCCAGACAAATTCCATAGATCTGGGTAGTTATTCCAGGGTTGTACCCGTGCAACTGAGGAGAACTTAGGCTAGAATCGGTACAACATGAGACTTGGCAGGAGTGCTGTCTTATTACAGTATAGACTTTAAATAAGGTTATGTCTACTCTTGGAATTATTAATATTTGAAATTATGAATATTGCTGTCGGAAATCACCAAATACTAATTTAACCATAAATTGCTTTATTAAATCCAAAGGCCAATGATATTTATACAATTGCTCTTAATATGCCTAAAAAGCTAAATAATAAGCAGTTCACTACATCCAAACAGTAACAAAACATTATAAGCATTTGATCAAGATACTTACAAACTGGCTAGACCCGGGGGTGCTTAGATCTGTATTAGGCAGCTCCAACGTGATCAGGCAGGTATTAGCAATGAACCCTTTAAGAGTTTACTTTCTATACCCTTTAACAAACAAGTGATGTCATTGCCAGTTACTGACTTCAGTTAACAACCAATTTGAGACAGTTCACTCTTATTTCCAGTCTTAATCCAGATAAGATTTACAATCTCCTTTCTTTCTAAGGCAGCAGTCCTCAACCTTTTGAGAGTCACACCCCCCACTTACCCCTGTCCATGCCCCCCCTGGGCCGGGAGCGGGACTGCGGACAGGGGCCGAGGTTCGGATGGGAGTGGAGCCACAGCCAGGCTGTGGTGGCAGCTGGGCCCGTGGCCAGGTGAACTTCCACTCTTAGCCTTGCCCCCAGTCTCGGCCCCAGTTCGGGAATGGAGCCACAGCCAGTGGCTGAGGCTGGGGGCTGGCGCAGGGCCAGGAGTGGAGTTGCAGCTGGGCCATGGTGGGGGCATGCCGGGCCCCCAGCCCGGTGTGGAGCCACACCGAGGCTGGGGACAGGGCCAGGTGAGGGGGCCGAAGTAGCTGGGGATATGGCTGGGGGTGGGACTGGAGCAGAGCTGGGGGTGGGGAGGGGCTGGGTGGCAGTCCCTCCACGCCTCCGTACGGGGGTGCTCCCCACACTTTGGAGGCCTCTGTCCTAAAGCCTTTCCTAGGCTCCCTCATGCTGTTCAACGGTTTTCCCATTGCATCTGGGTTCACATAGGCTTTAACATTGAGGTGTGGGTTGGGGAAGAGCCATGTTGGCTCATTTTAAGACAGATTCTCTGTTTGGTTTAAAACAATCTGCAGTCACCTGTAACAGTCAGAGGCCTTCTTTTTAGAAATTTCCCCTTATTTCATTAATGATTTGAACCAGGCATCCTCCCTACTTCGTTCCTCTATCTCTCATTATTTTCAAGGCCTTCCTTCTACTTGCTAGTCTGGGCCTTTCTTTACAACACATATATATTTCTTTAACCAAACTTAAGCTAACTTTATTTCTTTAATTTCATAATTATCCTACATCTACACTATAAGATGGTGGGGGTGACTCCCATGCTTGCGTATACGTACTTGTGCCAGCTTGAGTATGTGTATGCTTGCAGGGAAATTGCATCCCTAGTGTATACATAGCCTATGATGTGTATGTTCTGCAATCCTCTGAAAGCTGAGACTTTGGGAAATGCTGTTTAAAAAAAATAAGTGTTTCATATGGTTAATTATTTCTTTGTGTTGGTATTTAATTTCTAACTCTTAAGAATAAGTTCAGGTTATAATAATATTTGATATCTAAATTTCAGTGGCAAAAACTGTTGCTCTCTTGATGGAAGAATTTCTGTTCTTCTTTTTCTAGGCCTACTGTCATTTTAGGAGTGACAAACCCTTTTTTTGCTAAAACACTACAGCACTGGCCACACATTGTCCGAATAGGAGAGATTAAACTTCCAGGTAAAACATAAGCTGTACTACAGAACTCTGCTTCAAAGTGTAAAAAATATTTACTTTTCATTTTTTACCTTTAGTGATGTCCTGAACACTAATAGAGGGATAACTTAATCTAAATGCTTTGTGAGCCAGTTTCCAGGATTGAGTTTATTATGCAAAACAGCGTTAACCATGTTTCTCATGAAATTTAAGGATGTTAAATGAACTCAAACTCTCAAAAATATTCTAGGGTTGGTACTTAAAGTCCATCTAGCATTCTATTTTTCTGTCTTCAAGGTAGGAGGTAATGATACTTATTAGCTCCTGTGTTTTTATCTTTAAAAACTCAAACAATTCTGTTTTCATACCTCTGCCAAGAAAATAATAGCTGAAATTTTTGCTAATGTGTCGCTCATGAAATTCAGTTAGTTTCTGATGTTGGTTTGTTTTAGAATAAGTAGAACTCAGTAAGAGCTTGTCTATTTCAAACAGGAGTACCTCGAAGCATAATACAAAACCAGTAAAGCACTGTAGCAGTGTCCACACAGAGCATTACTGCTCAGCAGGCTAGTGTGCTGTAGAGTCACACCCGGGTTTACTGCACGCTAATGTTCTGTGTAGACAACCCCTAAGAATAACAGTCATTAAAATTGCACAGAAAATTACCCTGCATAAAACTAGCTAATGGTGCCACTGTTTTTAGAAACGATGCATTTGCTGGCATGATTTTTTTAAATTACTTAGATTTTTGTAATATGCTCTTTAAGTCATTATAGTACTTAACATTGTATGACTATTTTTATACAAATGGAAATTTCTGTCCACTTATCTTTTGGATAGCAAAGAAATTTTCAGCCAACCAGTAATAAGGTCATAAAGTGCTGTGTGTGTGTCCTGCTTTGCTTTGATACATTATTTTGCTCTGAGCCAAGAATGCAGGAATCATTTCAGGCAGAGTATTTCAGCATGAAATCCATTTTTCATGGGAAGATATTTAGTAGTATTCCACCTTCTGGAGTATAACTGTCATTATTGGCCTAGGAACTGTCTTCCCCAGAACTAGGGAAGTTTTTTGAAATGAGAGGAAAGATGACTTTGATAGAGAGTTTTAAAGTATCCTACGGCCATGAATAGCCACCCCCTAGTGAAAGTAGCAAAAAGATTTGTTTAAAGTCAAATTTTCAGACCTCTTCAAAATCCGTGTGCACCGTCAGATTAGCTTGAAAACTAGTATGCCATTTCAGGGACCAGGATACAGTTTGTGGTGCAGATGTGTAATCATTTGGTCAAGCAGTTCCTGAGAAACAGCTACCCCGACCCTATTTTAAAAACTTCAGCTTTAACTCTTTTCCTGGGCAAAGATAGGGGAAAGTCTATGAAGAGTGTCCATATAGAACTTACAATACTGCACTAGCTGGCCCATTTAGAAATCTAGTGTCGAGCTCCGAAACCAAATAGCAACATTGTCAGACTTTATTTTTTGGTTCTACAGAGCAGCACTAGGCTGCTACGTGCTATGCATAGAGCACCAACGTGGTGTGGAGGAAGAGGGAGAGAACATCTTCCACAAAATATTAGTAGTAGCCTCGGGAGGATGCACTGGCCTTGGATCTCTCCCTAATAATATTTCTGTACACTTGACAACCCTTAATATTATATCGACCAAATTGTGAAGCACTATTACTGAAGGTATGCACCCTATAGGAATCAAAGGGAGATGGGCTAAAATTTAGGAGATGAATGGAGAACGCAATCCTCTTGCTATAGGGGTAATATTTTTTTTAACCATTTGTATCATTCTGAATCAAATGGCCACAGTTTCTAATTTCCTCCAATATAGAGGATTTTTAATATTTTTTATTTTAATGCAATTTTGTTCAATGGAAAGTCTGCAAGACTTAGTTTATCTATTACATTTTCATGTATATATTTTAGTTGGGATGCTTACCTACACTTCTGATATCTCGTGTCATTAGGCAATGTACTGAATAAAAATAAGGATTTGTAAATACATGTGTTATTTTGTATTATACAATGTATTAATTGTGGTGCATGCACCCAAAGAAAAGATTTTTAAGGTGGTGGTGATTTTAAATATTTTGGCAGGTGAAGTTCCAAAGCAAGTGAAAGTGAAAAAGCTGAAGAACCTAAAGACTTTGGATTCTAAACCTGGTAATAAGCTTGATCATCATAAAAACATAAGCCTTACCATTTTCTTTACTAAAAATGCATACCCTAGTTGTTTTTTTGGCTGTATTCTTTTTTTTCTTCCAGGTGTTTATACATCTTATAAGCCATACTTGAACAGAGATGAAGAAATCATAAAACAGTTACAAAAGGTAAACTTGGAGATCTGTTTATTGAAACTGTTTTGTATGCTGGTAGATCTTTTTCTTCATATATGGGTCGTCAAGTGTGTAGACAGAACTCTCAGAGACTAAAACGAAAAACTCTGAAAATATGAACTTGGACACTTATGTCTTTGCCCTGCCTGAACTGATTCAAGCATTGTCTTCTAGGAGCATTTGTTTTCCTGTTAGCAGTTGTAGTCGTGCTTTTTAAAATAAATAAATAAATAAATAAAAATTGAATGATGGAATTTAAAAAAGTTAGGGTAAGAATCCAGAGAGTTTAGATGATTAACCAAAGTCTGTCCATGCTTTTTCAAACCTCTTTGGCCTAGAAATCTCTTGTGTGAGTTTTCTCAAGTCAAAATTTCCTAGCTTTGACTGGTTTATGGTTTATTCTCAGAATATTTTTTTCTCCTAGTGTTTCGGTTTCCTTTCCTAGATGAACTTGAAATACAGAGACCATGTAAAAACATAATAAAAAAGAAACAGAAATCACTGTGATCTATATTAAGACTATTAAAATGCAACACAATTAATAGTGTTAGTGATTTCTCTACAGCAATGCCTTAAGTCTGTTTTAAATAGGTGTACATCAGTGGAGTGTGAAGCTGGTCTTTGGTGTGTCTCCTAATTGTTTAGTAATTAAGAAATCTTTTTGTCATATGTTGAAATAATAGATTATTACTGTGGTTGCTTCTTACAGGGTGTACAACAGAAACGTCCTGCAGAAGCCCAAAGTGTAATTCTTAGACGTTATTTCTTGGAACTGACACAAAGCTTCATCATTCCATTAGTAAGATGACATATGTAATATTTGTTGGCCAACACCTATGATAAAAATATATTTCTTCAGTATAAAAGCTATTGTCATAATTTCTTTCAAATAACTAGAGTTCAGGACTATTTTTGTGATTTTATTTTTTAAACATATAGTTGGTCCTGCAGTTTTAAATGTTCTCAGGTGTACTAGGAAGATGATGATGGTGGGTCAGTAGTCTAAGCATCAGATTTGAAGCATTTTAAACTCCCTGAAACCACAGGTTCAGATCCCAGTACAGTACATTTACCTGTGTATCCGTAAAGGCAGATACTGTGAGGTAGTCTTTCAGATGAGACCTCAGCAGTAGAGATCCTGTCTGTTCTGAAATGACACTAATGATTCCATAGCTTTTTTTACTTTGAGTACTTCCTCTAACTCTTCACATATTCTTTGAATAAATTTTCTCTCCCCACACTGTTGAACATGCTGTCAACTGCTTAGTTGTCTCCTTTAATCCCAGAGCTGGCTGGATTTCAATGGTATTGAATGTACATAGTTTATAAATCACTTTGTGATGAGAAGAGCTATATAAATATATATTATTATAGTTTGTTATGATAGCTAAGAAGACTTTTCTAGGCAACCTGTTTCAACCAAGTGGCATATTACTGCGAATTGATTAAAAATACATTGGCTCCAAGATCAGGATTTTTTTTCTTTAACTATTTTTCTTCCTTCTCAGGAACGCTATGTGGCAAGCCTGATGCCCCTGCAAAAGAGCATATCTCCATGGAAGGTAAGGAAATACTCCTTGAATGAGCTGAAAATGTTTGTGACTAAAGAAAACTCATACTGTAAGCTGCCAAAAACTTGGTTTCTTTTGTAGAGTCCACCACAGTTGAGACAATTCAGCCAAGAAGACTTTATGAAAACACTTGAGAAAGCAGGACCACAGCTCACCTCTGGATTAAAGGGAGACTGGATAGGACTTTACAGGTCACTTTTTAAAATGAGAGACCAATTTGTATGTAAATACAGTGATGCATAACATGTACATGCCCTTTTTGTTTTGGGGGCAAATCTAATTGTTGTTATAACTGAATATTATGCAAAAGGATTTATTTTCATAGTTCTTTGTGTCTAATCAAACAAATTCATAATGTTTAGCAAACTTTAAATATCCATTTAGATATGCCCCTCTGGGTAACCTGTTAATGGTTTTCATGTGACAGTGCAAAGTATTATAGATCACTATATTCTAGTGTTAAAAAAATTACTAGATAAATGGGAAGAAAAGCTTTTCAGTAGGGAGCTCTAAATAGCTGAATGTGGGATCTCATAGTTTCATTCTGGTAAGTTTTATATTCTGGACTAATTTTATCCCCAGAACATCTCTTCTGTCTATTTAGCTGCAATTGTAGTACCTTTTCAAATGAGAAGTTAAGATGCACAGTTTTCCTGATGGAATGGCCAGCAAGAGGTGCTGGGTAAAGCACCTCTTTCACTCCATTTTTTTTTATACATCATAATGCTTTGATACTACAGGGGGATCCAGTGGATATAGCATACTTGGATTTTCAGAAAGTCTTTGACAAGGTCCCTCACCAAAGGCTCTTAAGCAAAGTAAGCTGTCATGGGTAAGAAGGAACTTCCTCTCATGGATTGGTAACTGGTTAAAAGATAGGAAACAAAGGATAGGAATAAATGGTCAGTTTTCAGAATGGAGAGAGGTAAATAGTGGTGTCCCCCAGGGGTCTGTTCTGGGACCAGTTTTATTCAACATATTCAAAAAATGATCTGGAAAAAGGGGTAAACAGTGAAGTGGCAAAATTTGCAAATGATACAAAACTAAGACCGTTAAGTCCCAAGCAGACTGTGAAGAGCTATAAAAGGATCTCACAAAACTTGGTGACTGGGCAACAAAATGGCAGATGAAATTCAGTGCTGATAAATGCAAAGTAATGCACATTGGAAAGCATAATTCCAACTATACGTATAAAATGATGGGATCTAAGTTAGCTGTTACCACTCAAGAAAGAGATCTTGGAGTCATTGTGGATAGTTCTCTGAAAATATCCACTCAATGTGCAGCAGCAGTCAAAAAAGTGAACAGACTGTTGGGAATCATTAAGAAAGGGATAGATAATAAGACAGAAAATATCATATTGTCTCTATGTAAATCCATAGTATGCCCACATCTTGAACGCTGCATGCAGATGTGATCGCCCCATCTCAAAAAAAGATATATTGGAATTGGAAAAGATTCAGAAAAGGGCAACAAAAGTGATTAGGGGTATGGAATGGCTGCCATATGAGGAGAGATTAATACTGGGACTTTTCAGCTTGGAAAAGAGACAACAAAGGCGAGATATGATAGAGGTCTATAAAATCATGACTGGTGTGGAGAAAGTAAATAAGGAAGTGTTATTTACTCCTCCTCCTAACACAAGAACTAGGGGTCACCAAATGAAATTAATAGGCAGCAGATTTAAAACAGAATATTTTTTCACACAGTGCACAGTCAACCTGTGGAACTCCTTGCCAGAGGATGTTGTAAAGGTCAAGACTATAACAGGGTTCAAAAAAGAACTAGATAAATTCATGGAGGATAAGTCCATCAGTAGCTATTAGCCAGGATGGGCGAGGATGGTGTCCCTAGCCTCTGTTTGCCAGAAGCGGGGAATGGGTGACGGGATGGATCACTTGATGGTTACCTGTTTTGTTCATTCCCTCTGGGGCACCTGGCATTGGCCACTGTCGGAAGACAGGATACTGGTCTAGATGGACCTTTGGGCTGACCCAGTATGGCCGTTCTTATGTACAGCGATAGGCTCTTTTAAAAAATGCTTCTGTATTTCAAAATGCAATTGGTAAGATCATCTTCCTGGCTTATGTTCCTGACCACATCATAGTTTTCTTTGAGTTCTTCCTCTAGTGCCCCAAGACATTACTTTTTGTCTCAACCCTGTAAGGCTCTTCACAACTTAGCCTCACCCTCTCTGTCTGACCTAGGATCATACTGTACCGTTGAGCCCTGCCTCTGCCTTCACTCTGCCAAAATTCTTAGCTTTTACTGCCCTTCTGACAACTTTTTCATTTAAGCATCTTTGCCACACCACCCCTTATACATTTTTTTTAAAATCTCTACTATAATTGTTACAGCTAGTACCTTTATCTTCTTTCACATGCCCCCTTAACACTCACCTCCAAAACCCTGCTTGCTGATCATGGATAGGCAGATGTTTTTCCTACTCCCATACATTTAGACTTGGCCAGTCCTCACTGTACCTTTATCCTAATTTTAAAAAGAAAGGAACTGACCAAGCTGTGTTAATCCTCCTCCAGGTTTATTTTCCTTGTATGTTATATCTCCATTTTTCTATCTTTTGGGAAGTCCTCCAGGACAGGTTTTGTCTCTAACATATGTTTGCACAGCACCTGGCATAATCAGGTCCTGGTCCTGATGGTGGCCTTTGGGTGATACCATAATATAAATCTTTACAAATAATCTGTATAAACAGGAATAGATGGCTATATAGTACTCGTATACCTATCCATATGGGAAGTAAGAATCCCAAGGTCAAAGAAGCTGTGTTATATTAACCCCTAAACTCATGAAGATCTAGCAAGAGCGATAATCATCATGAAACCCTTTAGTTCTCAATCACCTTTCCTTTCATTAGAATGGAAACTATTAGCCAAAGCATAATGGCAGGGGACATCAAATTGTTTTTGATAATCAACATTTCAAATAAAATGACAAGTCATTTAAATACAAGCATCTTTGTGCCTGAAGACTTCATAAGGATTTCAGAGCATAAGGCTTTTTGGTGTTTTTTTGAAGGGACACAGAAACCTGTTTCAGATTAGTGATGTTTTTTAATCAGTGTTCCACTACATAACTTTCCTTCCCAAGCAGAATTAATAATTTTTCTGAAAGATTAAAACCTTCTAATTGATATTTATATCCTCCTCCTCCCCACAACAAAACTGCTATACAATCTTGTGAAGTTGTGTAAGAGACTTGATGATGGAGGAAAAAGAAAGAATTGAATTGAGAATGTAATTTAAAATATAAATTTATTTGCACTGTTTTATTAAAGACACTTCTTGAAATCTCCAAACTTCAATGGCTGGTTCAGGACCCGGCGGAAGGAAATGACACAGAAGTTGGAGGCCCTCCAGTTAGAAGCGCTCTGTAATGAGGTAAGAAAAATATGATTTTTTGCTCTTAGTGATTTATAACACTTTTTTTTTTTTTTTTTTTACATCAAAACTTTGCTCCATGTTTCAGAAGTGTTCTGTCCTTGCCACCTGTCAACTGTAATCATTAAAAAGATTGAGACACTTGTCAGAACCTTTTATTTCAACTAAAAACATAAAAATAAAAAAAGTTAAATTGCAGTTTGAAACACTTAAAAAAAAAAATAAAAAAAAAATTCTGCAGCATTTGGAACCTAAAGGGTGTGCTAATGCTGGAGAGCTGGAAAATGAAATTGACCAGCCTGTGTTTGTCTTAAGATGACAAATGCATAACTAGTGAGAAGTAGTATATTGCAGTAATGTTCTAAATATACTAGAAGTTTTTCAAAAGTAAATTAATGGTATTGTTGAAAGTACTGTGTGTTTATGTATGTAAATATTTCAGCATTATGAATTTTTATCCTGAAAGGACTTGCTTTTCTGGAGTCAGAAACATACTGAAGTAGAAACAGTGGATCTTGTCTTAAAGCTAAAGAATAAACTGGTATGTAACTATAGTAAGTACAGATGAAATTTGTCACTTCATATTGTAGAGTGAGTGTGTTTTGTGTGTTTTACATCTACTTCAAATTGAACTGAATGTTCCTCACAAGATTTTGATAGCTCAGAAGATAGATGGTGATCATCCAGTCACTGATTCAAATATGGATGGCCCAGTTCAGCAGTAACCAAAAGGCTGGTGGCTGAACAGCACTTAGGTGGTTTAATTGATTGTTTCAGTCCTGTGCCTAGCTGACATCTCAAAACTCACTTTAACAGGACCCATGGCTTCCTGAGTGTCCCACTCATGGCCAGAGGTTGCTCTCCAGCGCCTTGCCTCTGTTTCCCTCTCTTCAGGGCCCCTGAAAAAACTGCACACAGGCTTTTCTCTGGGTTTACATCACCCCTGCCTAGTGCTGGGTTAATAACAGAAACAGTTCAAAACAATCCTCAGGATCCCAAAATACAATCCATCACCACAACCCAAAAGTTAATACTTAGCTCTGGCATCTTCTGTCACAGCCAGAGCTCTTCTTCTGTCCCAGTCTGTTGTCCCATCTCTTCCAAGCTGGAGCTCAGCCTTCTGGCACTGATCTCTAAGCCCATACCCAATCAGTGGAGTCCCATTTCCGACTCACTGGTCTCTGGCCTCCAAACTCTCCTGATGTCAGCATCTTTCCAGCAGGAGCCTTTCTCACGCCCTGCAGTGGCCTGGGATTTCTGCTGCTCTTTATAGAAAAATCAGCTGATCTCGCTTGTGGCTCATTCAGTAATCAGTGTTGGCTAGCCCCAGGCCCTCCATACCATAAGGGACAAGCCACCCAGTTACACTTACTGATGTTGGCAATCTAAGTAGAGATGCCAAAATTAAGGGCTCAGTCCTGCTCCCATTGAAGCCAATGAGTGTTTTGCCATTGACTCCAATAGGAGCAAGACTGAGTCCTAAATGAACCTGGAAACCAAACTTCCCTTGGAAGTCTGTCCAAATCAAGGTTGAAATAAGCTGGTGGTATTGAGGGGAAGCTTGCATTCCCACTGTCCACGTACCTGTTCATTAGATGGAGGACTTCAGATCCATTAGTCTGATTTCTTTTATGAACATTAAATTCACTTGCAGTTTTTTTTATTTGAAAAATGTGTTTAATTGTGCCTCCTATAGTTCCAGGCTGACAGAGAACATCTACCCATGAAACCTGACACTATGGAAAAGCTACAGATGCACATTGATGCAATTATACTAGCACTCCCAGATGACTTACAGGATATTCTGCTCAAAACTGGTACAACATGATTTCTATTAGGATTTTTATGCCACAAACAAACAACATATTTCAAAGCTTCACAGAAGAGACTGGCAGAGATCAATGGACTGGAGCTGTGAATGGTATACTAACACTTGACATTAGTAATAGTGGAAAAACAATTTTTAGCTTTTCTTTTAAAATAGACACCTACAGGGGTTCCACTTAAATACTGATGGAACTAAAGAATTTCTTTGTTCATTATGTTTAAAACCAAGTGCTCTTATGAAAAACCTGTGGGCATATGAAATTATGAAACATGCAGGACCACAATGCAATGCTGGCATTGCAGAATGTTTTTTTAAATTGGTGCTGCTGTGCGCATTCATGTTAACTCAGGGGGAAGCAACATTCACATTGGCTTTGTAAAGAGACTATCCCATTTAAGGTAATATCTAATTGCTTTTAATGCCTTCTTTCTTTAGATATTTTTAATCTGATGTTAAAAACTAACTGCCATGCTGTTGTGACTTGGATGAAGTACATAATAGTTGAGGAATTTTGTTGGCAAATCATTGCTTACAAATTTTATGATTTATAGAACTGCTATTAGCAGAGACAAGTGAAAGTATTAAATAGGCCATTAATCTTGTTTTACTTTTTTACTCTTTTTTTTTTTTTTTTCCCCAACGATTATATTACATCTGCCTCTGGACAGAAAAGAAGGCATCTGTTAAATATATCCTAAGAAAGAGAAACTGGTATATTTTCCTTTAACTTTGTCCATTTAAGGTCAGATAATGGGTAATTGTCTTCACAGGCCTTAATTAATGCTAACCCCAGATTAGTTGTATTTTTATCATTGAACAATTAAAATGATTTTAAAGCTGAACTGCTGAAATTCAGGATTTAAGTTTCCATTAATCAGGCTTAACTATATAGTCTTCATCACAAAATGTACAGTGTTGCTTACTAAATATACCAAGTTTAATGTTACTGTTGCTCATCCTGTAATAGATGTCAGTAGTGCTAGATGGCACAGAATCCACTGTAGTTGAGGATCATTGTAGTAGTAATCTTAAAGTGCGCTTCTCTCTCCTGCCAGGAAATGATTGTGTTAGACTGTTTTTTAGGAGGAGGAAATGGGGCAGGAGAGAAAAGACTATATTACTTTCAGCTGAAGGAATCTTGTGGATTGTAGAGACTATATCCAGAAGGAGTTGCAGCACAGTGAAGCTACTTAAAATACATGCATACAGTAAACATGCATAAATAACCATTTTTCATTCTATAGTAAGCAACAAGAATTTGTTGCCACCTTAGATCACCTTAAACCAAGAAAACTAAGACTGGTATAAGAAGTGCACATTTGCTCTGCATGCAAAGAGTGACTTTGAGGATCCATTCCAAGCAGGATAAGATGAAGCCATGATGTACAAATAAATACAGTACATACTTTATACTCTTAGATGACAAGTGGTTCACAATTATCAAAGATTCTGCTTAACGTACTTTGGGTAGAATAAGAAGTCTTGTAACGTTGCAATCCTGCTATGGAAAAAATGCCTTTGTATGATAAATATTTCATACTATCTTTCTAAAAATGTCTTATTTAGGTATAAACTGTCACATTGTTATTTTTAATAAAATATGTATTTTAATACTCTTACAGTTTATATAACATTATTCATGAACAGAAGTTAGTTTAACTAATTGTATCAAGACTGTCGTTTAAATTATACCACTATGGCATTAATTAATCTCTAACTTGCAATTTGTTTTGCACAGCTGATGGCTAGCATTTCTAACCCTGAAACTGAAAAGTGGCCATTACTCTGGTAAATTATCTTTAAATATTTAACTGAAGCACTGTATGATATCTTAGAACCGTGTAAACTGGCATCAATTATGTCAGCCTATTACCACTTGACTGAAAATATGTATTTTTGTAAAAGGAAATAAATGTCAATCTTTTGGGATGTTTATTTAGGTTACTTGTTCAGCAAATCAAATGTCCAAATTATCTCCTGCACTGAGGAACTGTTGAAGCTTTTCAGCAGCCTACAGAGACTGTTCGTTATTTGCCCCTCTGCCAGAACCCTCATCATTTGTCTCAGTACAACAGCAGGGAAGACACCTCCTCCTCCTCTCCCCCCTCTCCCCCCCCCCACACACACACACTCAGCAGCAACCGCCACTGGACTCCAAGGAGAATGAGGGTGTGTGATTGGGAGAAGACTCCAGGGGGATGGAGAGTAGATGAGAAAGGAAGGGGAAAACTCGGGACAAGGGAAGCAGAGAGAGGAAGGAAGGTGATGCAGTATAAGGAAATAAGTGGTGAAATAACAGTGAGTGGGGGGGCAAGACGTTTTGGAGGGATAGACAAGGGAAGAAGTCCTAAGGAGGAAGAGAGGGGGGAAAAAAGGAGCAGGAAAGAAGGGCAATGACCTCACAGAAGAAAGGTGAGATGATGCCAAATGCTTCTGCCTACTTTTCACCCTCTGAAAATGCCTGGGGGAATTGAGGAGACAATCTGTTTGGGCCTTCTGCAAGCTAACAAATAGAAGCATCAGTGACAGATATGGAGCTGCCCTGTGACAATTTATGAATACTGTATGTTGGGCTGGTTCCTGGGATGCTTACAGTATGAATGTATTGCTTTTAGTGTAATAGGGGACTGTCTGGAAAAACAAGCAGGAAAGAAAAGAATGGCCCAATATAGCCACCTCTAAGCAAACAGTTAAAAGTTGTTAAGGGACAACACAAGAACTATTAGTTTTGATGATTTTGTCTCCATCTCCAGCCAACCTATAATAGTGGTTTTGACCAGGACAGGAAAAGGCCCACAAATACAAAAGAACAAAGGAACTCTGGGAGGATTAAAAGGGGCACCCTCAAAAGAGAGGCAGCAGCAGTTCAGGGGAAACAGACAGAGATACACAGTCCACACTGGGGATGTACGAAGAAGTTACACAGACTGAGGTTCTTGATTTTTATCTGTGATTTTTTTACAAAATTATTTTACCCCACAAGGCAGCTGTATACTATTTAAATATTCAAAAATGGTAGCTTTAAAATATTACATAATGGAGGAAATTCCTGGAAGATGAGCTCTAAAACTTAAAGGGTGAAATCCTGGCCCAACTGAAGTCAATGCAAGTTTTGCCTTTGACTTCAGTGGGACCAGTATTTCATCCTAGATTTTCATCCTATTTTAAATATATATAACTAACGTCTAAACATGGCTAATATCATTTTGCAGTGTATTAACAGGAGTGTCATATGAAAGACACAGGAAGTAATTGTCCTGGTCTGTTCAGTACTGGTGAAACCTCAGTTGAAGCACTGTCTATCTCTGCCCTTCAGGCTGGGTACCATCCCGCTGTGACCCGACTTCCTACCCCACTGTGAGTGCGTGGGTGACTATCTCCCCCCCACCCTCCACTAGGTCTGTGCCTTCTCCCAACCAACTCCCTGCCTTTCTGTGTGGGTATGGGGCTAGTGGAAAACTGAATGGGCTCAAGTGAATGAGCTTTTGGGGAGGGGGGGGACCAAATGTCTCTCAAAGCCACTAGCGTGAGCAGATCTATGTCCCAGTTGAGTTGAGTTACGAGTTTTAGGTTTCAAGGATTCCTAGAAGTGAAGTCTTATCCAGGACATAAAACAGCCAGAACAATGGCTGGCCAGCACAGATGCAGCAGGTGGTGGGGGAATGGGGTCAGAGTATGGGAAAGTGAGGGTGCTCAAAGAGATGGAATTGAGGGTGGTGGGGCAGTGACATTGCTCAGAGGTTGGACGGAGGAGGTGGGAAGCAAGGGAGTTCCAGGACATGGGCAATTCAGAAGTTCAAAAACACGACAGTCATTTCCCCATGATTTCTCCTTTGTACCTTTAAAAGGCCCAAGGTAGGAGGCTGCATCTGGGATTCAACAAGGAAGGGTTGAGGATGAGCATCTGCATAGTTGTCCTGGAATTTCACTTTAGAAGTTGGGAAGGTGGTCACCCAAGAGACAGGAGAATAAAGGCTGAGCAGAGATGCATGAGAAGAAATAGGGGGACGACGACACACATGCAGTTGGCAAAATGGCAGGACAAACCTAGAAAATCTGAGTGCAAAGCACAGAGAACCTGGAAAAGGTGAAAAATATGGAAAGAGACCCCATTCCCTTTAGTCCTCTTTGTATGTGGAAAGACCACTGACAACTCAGGAACATTGGAGGAATCCTGACTGAAGATAAGAGGACCTAACACAACTAAGTGGCAACTGGGGGAGCAAGACCCTGGAGTGGGGGAAAGAGTCTGGGAGATCACAGGACTTTGTGGGCATGGGGGGAGTGAGAATAAAAGGAGCTCAGAGGATAAGAGATTGAGACTGGAGGAGAGGAGCAAGGTAGACACAAAATGAAGCAGGGTAGAAAGACGTGGGGGGCGGGGGAGAGATTCATCAAGATGTAGGAAAAGTGCAGAATAGGCAGGGTTGGCATTAGACTTGCTGGGGCTCAGGGCAGAAACTAAGGAGGGGGCCTCCCACCCTGCCTCCTTTACCTGCTCACACATCTGCAATGTTTCTAAAGTCCAAGCCCTGCCACCTGGGGCTGAAGCTGAAGCCCGAGCCCTGCTATCTGGGGCTGAAGCCAAAGCCTGAGCCCTGCTGCGTGGGGCCCTCTGTGGTGTGGCATCCCAGGTGATTGCCCTGCTTGCTAACCCCCTAACACTGGTGCTGAGATTAGGAAGAGAAAAAGAAATAAAATGATGTGCTATACAAACTTACTTTTAAAATTTTGTTCATTTTGAATTTGATTTAATCGTTACTGAAGAGTCAGATGTATTTCATATACCTGCTGAGTAAATGTCTTTGTTATTACGGTCTTTTTACAACATAAAAAGGGAGCTCTAAGGACATGGACCTGGCTGCTGGGGAATACCTCACCTGGAGTGTTCCCAGGGTGCCAAAAAGCCAGCATAAAAGCTCTCACATGTGGTATTGCCTCAATGACTCTTAGAGACTATTGGCAGCCAAGTGTAAATTAGAGCAGTCCTTAGATTTTTCTTATTTGTCTCAGGGCCAAATACCAGAATGGGGGAGGCACAAAGATAATACAAGGGGATCTTTGTCCCACTCTTTAATCCTGATTAAACAAGTTTGTTGGACCTAAAAATCAGGTCTAAATATGTCATTTTAAATTCACATACACCTCATTCAAAAGCATTTTCCATATATAGTTCACAAGTCAATACATACTTAACATACGTTCCTTGGCTAAAAGTTGCCCTATACATATCGTTAAGGCTAAGATTTTCTAATGGTTATTTTTAGTAAAAGTCACAGATAGGTCACGAGCAATAAACAAAAATTCACGGAAGCCATGACCTGTCTGTGACTTTTGCAGCTGCGACTCCATGGTTTCCCCTGCCACCATGGTGGCTGGGAGCTGTGGGGTTCCCCCTCTGCCTGCAGCAGCTGAAAGCTGCAGGGAGGCTCCCTCTGCTCATTGCGGCTCGGAGCTGCAGGATGACCATATTTCCCAACGAGAAAACGGGATACCCCTAGCCGCTCACCCGAGGCGTCCCCCTCCCCCACCACGAGGCTGTCGCCCATCACTGAAACCCTGAAAAGGGCCCCCTCAGGAGTCTGTCACCTGTGGCTGGAACCTTGCAGAGGTCTCACTGTCATCTGTCTCTGGAAGTCATGGATTCCGTGACTTCCATGACATCTGTGACATAAACATAGCCTTAGATATTGTGTATTGATATAGTCAAAATATTTCTGCTCTAATTGGGAATAAGGTTTGGTTGGGCAAACAGGGGCAGCTCCAGGCACCAAGCATGTGCTGGGGGCGGCCTGCCGGTAGCCGTGTGGGCGGCAGTCAGGGAGCCTTCGGCGGCATGCCTGCAGGAGGTCCGCCGGTCCCGTGGCTTCGGCAGCAATTTGGCAGTGGGTACGCCGAAGCCGCGGGACCGGCGGACCTCCCACAGGCATGCCACCGAATCCGCGCTACCAGCGGACCTCCCGCAGGTGCGCCGCCGAAAGCCACCTGACTGCCATGCTTGGCGGGCAAAATACATAGAGCCGCCCCTGGTTTCTAGTCTAAGTCCTTGCACATTTGCTGCCTTGTGGCCTGGTTTGAGGTGTCCCTTATCTTCTCAGTAGTGCAACTACTTGGGTGCTGTGTATTAACCTGAGGGCAGCAGGATTAGTCTCTGTGAGAGACATGCTGCCAAACCCTTCTTCTCAGAAAGTGGGGGGGCTAGGTTAGGGGGCCATGGGTTAGGCCCACACAACCCCCACTAGGAGAGAGAGTGAGCAGGGCCCCGTACACGCTCTAGAGCTGGCCCTGTATAACCACCGGCTCCCGGGGCCGCAGCCTAGGGCACGGAGACTACAGCCCCCAGCACACAGTGCGGCGCGGAGAAGGACTACAGTTCCCAGCATGCAATGCTCGACTCAGGCCAAGGTTGGCGAGGAGCTGAGGGACCTGGGACTGCATCTCCCATCATGCCCTACGCCAACGAAATGAAGCTATCGATGAGCACCTGGCGCATAGCACGCTGGGAGTTGTAGTCAGTCTATGTTCGGAGGGTTTGTCCGGGTCAAGGGAGGGTGGTGGCGCTGCAGTGGGGATGTGGCGAGCGTGACGTGATTTTGTCCGCGTTGGAGCTGGGGGCGGCCGTGGTGGCGAGCGTGACGTGGCAGAGAGCGAGCGAGGCTCCCCCGGACATAAGATCAGCAGCAGTAGCCGCCGCCAGCAGTTGCTGGGCCGGGACCCCGCGGAGGGATCTGAAAAGAGAGACCGGGATTGGGGTATAAACCGCTGCCTCGCACACACTCCTCCCGCTCGCCGCCGCCCAGCCCGAGCCGCCATGGGCCTCACCATCTCCTCGCTCTTTTCACGTCTCTTCGGCAAGAAGCAGATGCGCATCCTCATGGGTAAGAGAGAGACCCCCGGACCCGCCCGGCCCTGCCTTCCGTCGCCTGAGG